AAAGTTTTGGGAAGTAAAGTTTCAACTTCCATGTCCATAGGGCTGTTGGAGTTACTTCCAGAAGCGTTTGAAGTTTCCGTTTATTTTGGTGGTTCAACATGTTGTTTCTTAGCAGGGCGTTGTTGTTGTTGGTCATTTTCTATAGGAGAAGAGCAAACTTGGTAAGGTTTAGAGTTGTTATTACGAGTGGTTTTTTTTCAGTCATTTTGGTTTTAGCGATCAACGGAAATTATTGTGAATTTAGATAATAATTAAAGTTTTATTAAATAAATTTATTTATAATTATTAAATATTGGTCAAATATAAATAATTATATATTTGATATTTAATTAAAGAATTTAATTAAGATACTAATGTATACAAGTAAATATTTTTTATTTTTTTTTCACATTTGTTATTTTTATATAAAATTACTAATATTTACTTAATATAGAAATAAATTGAATATTAAATAAGCTATTAATTATATTGTAAAAATTTATAAAAATATAGAATAGCAAACTATATGTAATTACTAGAATAAAATTAAAATTATATCTAATTTTAATTCTGAATCAATATAATGAAGATTAAGTGTATTTATTAATGAAATTTTAAATATAATTTTAATAATTTTCATTGACAATGAAATCTGAAGTAGTTTATTAAATTATATTCATGATTAAGCTTTTTCATTTACTAAAAGAAATTTTACTGATAAACAAATCATAGACATAATACAAGATCATGGTAAAGAAATATTTGATACTGATAATGAAGAGAAATCAATTCTAAAAATTTACAAAGGAGTATTTGATGCAATTAAAAAAGTAATTTTCTTTTATGAACAACTACCTATTGATAATAGATTTAAAATAGATAATTTTAAAGTTTTAAATATTATATTTCAGATTTAAAAATGCTTTATATTACATTTTTACAATAAAAATCAATTAAAGATTATTTTCCTTTAATTAAACATTTTAATATTATGTATATAATTTTTAATTTTAATAATATACTTAATATAATTATATAATAAATAACGTTTATTAATTAATAAAATTGATATATTATATATTTCTTATAGTTTTTTATTTATATTTTACCATTAAAAAATTTTTTTATAGTCACATCTCATCATAGTTACTGAATATAAAATCTTTTAAATGTGTGATTATAATAAGAGTTGACTGTACTACTAAAATTTTAAATGATCATTATAATATTAAATTTAGTTCAAAATGATAACAAGGATAAAATTTTACTGAAAAGAATAGAAGTAGCTATTTTAATTCTTTTTTTGCATTTTATTTATTTTATAAATTACAAAATTTTATATTAGATAATAGTTAAAATAAAAGTTAAAATTGATTAAAATTTTTTAATTATTTAATAACTAGTTAAAACATTTGTTAATTAATTAATTAACTAATTAAATTAACTTAAACTAATATTATAAATTTGACCAGAGTTAGATAACATTTTTGTAATTATAAAATTCTTAATTCTAGCCAAAAATTGAATTTTAATTGGAGTTAAATTTATCTATTTTAATCAATTAAAAATTTTTATTCAGTTAACATTTTAACTATTTTAATCAATTTTAACCTTTAAGTTAAAGTATTATTATGAATCATGATTTTGATCTAAATCTGTATTAATTAATTAGATATAAGAAAGCTAAAGATTTATATGATATAAATTCATTAATTAATTTCATAAAAATTTGATAAATTTTTAAGATTTTATAATTAATATAAATTAAAATTAACTTATATTGCAATTTATATTTATAGTATTTGTGTTAATTTGTTTTAATAGAATAATTATGATCAAATATAAGCTATTTACATACTAATTAGAGAAATTGTTTATAAATAACTTTTTTATTATTATTATATTACAATATTTAAATATATATTAATCTAGGTTTTATTTATTTATAATATATAACAAAAAATGTTTTAATTAAATTTAAAGTAATATTTTATTTATTTATAAAATCAAAGATGCAAAAGAATATAAAGAAGAAATATAATATATTCATATAGTTACTCTAAATAGTTCAATGATTATAAAGATAAAGAATATAAATTAAATAAAGAAGAATATATTTAAATAAGTATGAAGAAAATAATAAAAATGTAAATCATAATGATGTTAGAGAAGAATTAATCATTCAAAGTGAAGAACAAAAATGGAACCAATTAATTGAAAACTGGATAGAATTGGAAATAGATTTGAAAATAATAAATGATTTTGATTCTGCAGGTCAAAAAATACATTCTGTTAATAATAAATAGATAAATAGAATTTAAGTACTTTATTTGAATCTTCTTTAGAATCTCCTTCAATTTTAGGTTCAGATGAAATATTTACAAATGCTAATTAAAAAATTGCTATATTTGTATTATTCCATTTATTTGTTTTTACAATTTTGTTATACATAGAAATAGTTCTTTTTGTTTTGTAATAAAGATTCAATTTGATTGGTTAGTAATTAAGACCGAAGTCATATGACTTTCAAAATTTTGGAATGACCCGAATAGTCATTAAGTCATATTGGTCATTCCGAGTCAAACGCTGCCTCCATCAGATTCATCATCATCCAGTTCTGCATTACGTTCATCCTCAAAATCTCCAAATTGAAGCCTCTCATAACCCCAGATTTCCTTAATCTTCGAGGTTGCCTACTTCCGATGCTTTTATAATTAAGATATCCGCAGTTGAATACCCGCAGTTGATCAACGCAAAACAATTGTCCAATAATTTGCAGATTCGTTTCCCAAGGAATTGCCCTGTATTAGAAAGCATCAGCGATCAAAATTAGCATATATAGAAATTTATTGTCACTGGTTAAGAGAAGTTTTCCTAAAACAAACAGATCAGATTTTGTGATACATGGAAATAGATAGGATAACGTTCTATGTTACTAATGCCAAAACAAAGCCTTAACCAAAACATCAGGAATACCGTCACTTTTTGCGGTTTTTCCATCAATTTATGGTTTATTACCAATTGATATTTTTATTATTTAAACACTAGATAACATATATTATTAAACATGCTTGTTAGGCTGTCGGTACATATGTAAAAATCGAAAAAGAAGTCTAAGAAAATCCATAAAACTAAAATCAGCAATCAATACACATCTTGCCATTTCCTAAAATACTCATATACAATTCCATTCATTACAAACCATCCCAACTGATCTTTCCCTTTAATTGAGCGTTTCGATGCTTTTTCAGGAGAATTACCAAATGGCCATATCATTTGACTCTCATCATCCCACAGAAATACACGACCATAACAATCTAAAAAGATCATTCCATAGTCGGTCTCCCCAATAATAATTATATGATCAAAGCCAAATTCAGCAACACATGTTATATAATAAACTATTTCTTTCGGATCACTATCAAGAACTTTATAATTAATCAAGGTTGCAATACGAGACTTTTCTTCAAATGTATCAACTAAGATAAGCGGATCGTTGCAACGCGACGGAGTTCCATTTTTTCCTTCACATAAATGCACTTGAGACACGGTTGTATGACTTTCAATAATTGATGATCCTTCTTGGGTATAGCGTGCGGGTGTACAGAACGGCACGATTTGGGGGCCGTGGTTTTCCACGCATTGCCTCCCAGGGAACCAATTCTGCACAATTTCCCAAACTGTGCCTGCAATTGTCCAATTGTTCTTCTGTTAGGACATCCTTCACATTCTTTGCCCATTTTAACGTTTGCATGTTCTCTGTCCTTGTCGCAACTGACTGGTTGTTCACTGGTACTTGACAACGAATCGACGCACCCATCATGAATTTCACAATCATTCCTTTTCGTTTCGAAATCTCTCTTGAGTACGTTATATTCACAGTTGATGGTCGCAATTTTTGATTCGGTTAAATTATTATCAAACTTTCCGCTAAGCGTTCCAGACTTCTCATCAAATAATTTATTTGCGTCTCTAATTTCATCTTCCGTGAAGGTCGAAAAGCGTAGGTCCAGAGGAGACACCAGGCGTCCCATATAGTAATAATCAATATCGGATAAAATTTATGTAGGATTATTATTGTTTTTCCCTCCTGGCCGAACGATTTGATTATTTGGTTCGTTCTACATAAAATACGTTTTTTGAATTTGTTCAAGCATTTTTATGTACAGTCGTCCCCCTTTATAATCATTATTTGACTTTATAACATATGATCTAAACATAAAATATTAATTATATTTTTAAATTTTAATATGAGAGAAACAGAATAATGTGATAAAGAATTAAAATGTGGCTTTAATTCTCATAGTAAATCATACGATCATATGATGCTGGATATTTCCAGTTTTAGTATGTAAATTTATTTTATAATATGAATATTATTTATTAACATAATCTATTGATATAGCAGTTATACAATATAATATTTTGATCTTTTAATATAGTAATAAACTAATAAACTTAATTACATTAATTAGGAAAAGGATCCCGGTAATTACATATATATATTATAATATTATAATATATTATTGTAATGTAATAATATATCGTAATATTATATCGCAACACTATAAATAAATTTTTTTGCAAACAACGTGATGTTGTTGTTTACGCGATTTTAAATCAATTTACTTAATATAAAAATATATAAAGAGTGAGTATCTAACAGGTAAAATAAGATTTTTTAAAAAAATATATTATTACGATCAATTCTTTAAAATGCTTATGAGTGATAAGCGAAGCAATATTTATGGGTGGTAAGCAGAAGGTTTAATCTGATATTTAGATTTAGAAGAGTATCGATAAATTAACAGTTTATTTAATAACTATAACAATAGAGTACTGCCTCAGTCAATGCTCTGTACTATACAATTATGTTAGAGGGATTAAACTAAACTATTATATAAAACTATATGTCAGACACACTGCTAAGCTAAAGGAAATTGTCCTCTATTTATATAAAATGAAAAATATAAAGTTATCGAAGATATAAAAGAAATAAATATAATAAATAAAATATATAAAATAAATAAAATATAATAAATATATAAGATAAATAAGATAAAATAAATAAAAGAAATATATTGTATAAAAGAAATATACGCTATAGACGACATAGATGATATAGAAGACATATATGATTTCTTAGGGATTGATGTCATCCTTTAGATCATCATCCATCTTCTTTCGTGTAACAATATTTTGGCGTTACATTTTTTGTATCAAACGATCGATTTTGCATCATTTGAACTTAAGAATTTTTTTAAAAAATTTTATTACTCTAACGAATTATTTATTAATATATAAGTATTCACAGATATTCATCAAATAATCTACAGATATTTGCATAAATTTATAACACATAAAAATGATCTGTCTATCCAAATATTTGTGTTATCCGTGCAGATTATAATTCATGGATCACTTCTCTATAGCGCGCTATATTAATACTAAATCACATGATTTACTTGTGATTATATAAAGGATATTTTTCTTATATTTTCTATGATACTGGAATTGACAATTGGTATGATTGTGCTTATAATAATATAGTGACTAAAAAGGTGATATTTTATTATTTAAAAAATCAGGACTGAACCTTAGTATGACTAAAGAAGATGAGTGACTATATAGGAGGTAACTATAAAGGGGAATGACTGTATACAAAAAATATTAGAAAACTGAAGAAAATAGTTTAGAAAAATACTTGAAAAGGAATTTGATAAGCGTGAACAATTTAAGTTCGCTCTATGTTTTCTTACTAAATTTCTTATAGATGATAAACTTGAGAAAGAAAAACAGGGAAAAAAGAATTCACAAACTGACTGGTTTAGAAATAAGCAAATTATAGTTTATAATAGAGATGAAATAGATAATTACTTAAGCAATGCTTTTGAACAAATCCTATACTAAGTGGAGGAAAAAGGAGGTAAATCTAATGCTTAAATATTTATTGAGAGGGTAATTGCACACCTCTTACAATTTGGAGTTCTTCTTTCACAAATGAGCATCTAGAACTATTGTAAAGCTTATAGAGAACAGGTTGGTTTTCTTTTATTAAATAAGAATCAATTGTAAAAACTTCAGGAAACTAATTGCAATCAGTTGTTCTTCTTCTATCACCTTTCAATTCACCAGGTTCTAATAGATGCTAAACTTCAGTATAGCTAGATAAAAGTAGTTTATTATAACCAACTGGTCTCCTATGTTCGACAGAAGGTCTAGCTATTATTTTTTTACCTTTTAATGCCTTTTTTACAGC